ATTTAATATTACACATTCAAACGTACATAATGTACGAAAAGTGCTATTCGTTTTTCATTTTTCATATAATAACGCCTCGCGTCAGACAAAAGCCCGTTTTATAGTCCAACAATGCGATTGTGCTCTTTTCATCAACGCGACTTTTATGAGCGTCGCGTCAGCTGCGGTATGCCAAAATTGAGATAGCCACATTTATGGACTCCGGCTTTTCCTGTTAATATTAACATTAAAAACCTTAAGTGAGTCGAGCTATGTGGCGTGTTACTTTTCATTAAACATAAGAGTACCCATTTCAACAAAGCGGCACGAGTCTTACTGTTGGTACTGTGAAACCTGGCAACTTTGCTTTTTTTGGACTTTAAAGTTTAGGGCGAATTTTCCTACATAAAAGGAACTTTCAGACTGTTCCTCAATGTTGAATGTGACACTATATTCTTAATAGATTTCGTGTTTATGTGATTAATTAGTGATTTAAAAAATACTAACATCAAATAGACAAAATACTCCAAAACAGAAAATGGCAAAGTTAACCTTATTTTGTGGTAACTTTTCCATTGGGGTTTTAATGAGAAGAATAGGATTAACTTAAAGGATGACGGTTAGGTAAATTATCTGAGTTTTAAAGACGGTCACGTTTTTATAATCTTATTTTTTCTAGATTTTGCGTATTAACTTTTCTCACATTGAACACTAACGTACTTATTATCAGCAAATTACATTACTAAATACATTAAATTGCATACATTGCATAACACCTCGGTGTATTCTACTACCAACTAACATCAAAGGATTCAATTTGTTTTCTCACAACACACAACCCTACAGTAGGTGCGGCCTTAACAAAGTTAGGCGCGTAACGGGCTAAGTGATACAGACACTAGCACGCGAACGTAAGGTGCATTTGGGTTTAATACGCGCGCCACATAAATTTTTTTTCAACGATTTAATTGGTAGGCTAATTTCACGAAGGTCGCTTTCGATGCATGCAAAGTATTACGGACATTAGTGACGTTATAACTAGATTAAAATTCGGAAGCTTGCTATCAGAGAGTGATCCTTCTGTTCTTAAACAATTATTAATTCTGTGGTTGTCGCAAATCATGGCATAGTTACCGTCACAATCACTAGTATGATAATTTTGCCAAGTCAGTTTTATAGAATATGAAGACCACCATGTTAAAAACGAAAAATTACATTTCCTAACCATTAATATTACTTTATAACAAAGATATTGTAACACATTCACCTCACTGAAAATAATTCTTTTTTATAAATACCACCCACCATACCACCTTAGCTACATCACTACCTCAATGTCTATCCTTTTTAACAGGATATAAATTATAAATGAAGTCTATTCACGATACCCAAATTTTTTTTACATAAGGAAACTAGTACCTACAGTATAATACATTTAGTATTTCAAACAAAATCAACTAAAGTTTTGGAGCACTGAATAAAGAGTTTATGTATATGAGTAAATGTTACATTATGTTATAAGAGTAAATGTTACGTCGCTGGCGCAATTCTGCGTTAAAATAAAATGCAAAAATTAACTCTCATGTTGCCATATCGAAAACAATGCTGGTAATTAGTTATTAAATTTTTCTGCTCGTAAAATGTTACGTTGTTCGTGTTAATTGTAATTTTGTAGCTGTACATGTGATGGCAAAGTTAACTTGCATTGGTAGTTCCCAGACTTGAATGTAATATAAATTTCGCTTTTGCTGCATTCCTTCCAGGGCTGCTATTGTTAAGTATTTTCAGTAGCAGCCCGGAGTCAGAAAGATGGTGGTGTTTCACCCCCGTGCCTCGGAAAGCACGTAAAGCCGTTGGTCTTACGCCTGATCTCCCTCCGGTCGTGTCGGTTTGCCGTCCCATGGGGGTACGAGACATGAAGGAAAAGAGACCTATGCACATGTGCTTGCGCATACGTTCGGGCACTATAATTCTCACATGCGCACGCGGTTAATCTTGGTTGAAACTGGCCGCCGTGATCGAAATTCGGTCCGGAGGACGTTCTACTACTTATATTGAAAGTAAATGTTTGAAGCATGCAATATTAAATCTCGAAAGTTGTTTAAATCTATACAACAAAAATCATAATAATTGTGATGATTTATTGAAATAAAAACTAAAAACGCGTTGAGTCGCAAGTCGCGAGTCTACACTAAAAATTAATTGCTTAGAATGCCATTCGGAGGACCGCTACAGTTAAAGCATAATATTTAGTGATAACTCATTTTTTATATTGTGAAATAATTTCCTTTGTATAACGACTGCATATCTCTGTGTAAATACATAACCACATTCATCGTGCTCGACAGAAGAATAATCTGCTTGTGGTCACAATGTCCTTCAACAGCCCTTATCTATTTTCGCTTATCAAACACGTTACTCAATGTTTGATCAGAGTTCCAGATTAATTACAGAAGCTGAACTTAAGCCTGAGTTAGAATAAGAGTCAATTTAAGTATGCAAAACAATAGAACCTATACCCTATCGTACCTCCAATCTCATAGGCTTACATCAGGCACCCGTACGCTATAATAGTGTCGTGTAGCGTCTGCGTCAGCTCCAGAGTACTATATTTATAACTTGTATAATTGATTACTTCCGTGGTCATTCTGAAATCATCGCCGTGGTAGAATCCGGCTAGGTGAATATAAAAATCTTATTTTTCATTTACGTAAATAGCGCGGACGATTATCTACGTTATAGAATCAAGACAAAATGTAGAAGATTTTTACTCTTTAAGACTGAAACGCAATTACATGATGTTATTAACTTTAGAATATTATTATTTAAGCTTCATTGGTTAAAAATTATTTCTTACAAGAATATACCATGAATAGTTCACTTATAATAAAGCATATCAAGTAATGAACTTTTTTAACTTCCCGCTAAGAAAATTATTGGTTTCACCCCGATTTTCGAAAATCGAGTTTTTATCAGATCTCGACGTTTTGAGATCCCAGGAAGCTATTCTGAATAATTTCACGTGGACGTCCGACGTCGTGTATGTATGTATGTGTGTGCGTGTGTAAGTATGTAAACCTTTCTTACGAGTATCTTTTGAACGCCTTGATCGAGTGAGACCCGGTTCTAAAGATCTCAATGTGGAATAGATTTGGTGATAATATGAACTCATTCTGACGAGTAAATTTTGAGAAATCTCAAATATAAAAATTTTGAAAAACTGTTTTTTTTTTTTGTATAACTTAAACGGCTTTACCGATCGATTTCAAAAACTAATCAGCTCTTAACCTCAAAAAATGACGTCGAATGCCATTTGGAAAATAAAAATTAGTTCATTCGTTCGTGAGATAGGTATGGAAAATACGTTTTTTTAATATAAATTCGAGATTTCGCAACATAATTTGGTGAAATTTAGAGCGCTTTGTATTTGCAATTAGCGGGAAGTTCCAGGATGGCCTGCAGGTTCAACCATTTTTTTTGTCCTGTGAACTCGTTGATGACATACTTTCACTTCACCAGTCAGTATAATGACAGGCTGTTAAGTAGCTTCTTTATTTTTTTCTACCATAATCATGTCGGCTGCAATCTCAATGATTTCTATGGTACTATCGCGTAAAAGTTATTTTCCAGTGTTATTTTCAATATTTAGTTAAAGTTGTAATATTTTAAGTTATAAATTTGCAGGTTTTAAGAGATTGGGGCAATTAATAAATAAATAATACAAAGTATATCTTGTTATAATAAATAGGTAATTTACTACATGCAGGAAAATGAAAATCGAAACACTACATAAAATTCAATGTCACAAAGTTTTACTCGCACGTCTAAAACTAAAATAGTATATTTCGTACTGGCTCCCTGCCACTATAATTGAACTTTGCACTATTTCTGGAAATTTTAGAGTCTAAAGTCACTTATGTTGTTTGTGAGTCTATTTTGGTGTTTTGGCATAGGAAGCAATCGTGTTTATGCGTAACAGTAATGTTGTTCATTATGAACTGCGGCCAATTTTTGGCGCTAATATTTACAACTATTGTATCACTTTTTTTTTAGGACGGGGTGACAAACGAGCACACAGTCCACCTGATGGTAAGTAGTCGCTCTGGCCCATAGACATCTACATCTATCCTCGATTACAAATCAAAATGCAGATGCGCTGTCACCATAGAGTGATGACTAAGATGGAATGCCTCGTTTCCAAAGTAAAAAGGGTCTCCGGTCCTCTACACTCACCATACGAAACACAGCAGCACCAAGCCACTATTTCACGCCGGCATTCTGTGAGAGCGTGGTCCTTCCCAGGTCAAGCCGACCCATTCGTGCTACAACTATACTACTAATATAACTGCAGCATGGCTCTACCACGTAAAAAACACCCCAAGAATATTAGATATTATTCTTTGTGGTAGCATACTGACCAGTTGTACATGAAGTTTTGTAATAAACATCCACTCAGATGTAGTCCTAAGTTGATGCAAGGTCTTTAATCGTACATATTTCAATAAATTTAAAGTTCCTTTACTTTTTATATCACCACCTGTTGATATCATCTATGTCATCTGATGTCATCAGATGTCATCTATGTCATCTGATCATTCCAAAATCATCAGATAATTTTGTATTTTGAAAACTATTCTGTTTATAAATATGCAATCTATAATATTATCTTTGATCAAATGTTGTGATATATTTATCTTTTCGATTCTATAAAAAATAAGACTTAGTAAACAAGATAAGTACATATTTCATAAACAAGTCGCGGCCACGTGCATACGTAAGAAACCTGTCCTGAACGTAAATAAATAAGTAGGTATGAACTAAAAAAATAGAAGGGGATTCTAAGTACACAAAAATAGACACTTCATTGGTACCTACCATGGTCACTAATAAAGCAATCCACAAAGGCAGGCCTTTGGATTAATTAATGACAATGCTTATGTAATTATTTTACTTTTAGTATAACTATATTATTTATTTACTGATACTATCAGCAATCATTAATGACTAAGAATTATACTTACTGTTTGTAACTCCAGTGCTATTAGAACCCGTAACTCCAAAACTTTCAAAGCAAATAACACTTAGTAAAATATACCACCACATACTGCAACAATATTTGGGGGCTGCCTGATGACAGCCCACCAAAATGAACATTTGTCTTTTAGAAACTTTTCGTTTTGACAAAATCACTGTATGGTAACACTTAATTTTATCCAACTACGGCTTCTAGTTTTATCACGTCTATAACACTCTTATATTACTTATGATATATAAATCAAATGTAATGAAAATAACGTAATATTTGGGGTTTTAAATAATCATTAAAGTTTTGAGGTTATTTTTACGTGCCAGCAGTGGTACGAGCGCGACGGCGAATGTCGCGCGCGAGGCAGGCAGGTGTGAGGCGAGAGTTGGGCTCTCCGCTAGACTAGATGGCGCTAGGGGCACACGCGTGACGTCGTTTAGTTTCGGCGACTGAGTCGTGGCGCTGCGCTGCTGATTCTAGCTAGAGATTTTTCCTAACGCATCACACCAACGACATATCATCTTAAGGGACGTTTACATGCCGTTTTCAGACATTTACTTTATTGGCTTTATTTCGTAATGATAAATAGTCAGGTCAAATTTGTGATGTTATAGTCAGGTGTCCATGGACTGCAGTATCTACTTATTAGCTACTGCATTGCAGTACACACCATCGGGTTGATTGGAAGTTCGTTTGTCATAATTTATTAAAAAAAAGTCGACAGACTTATAGTATCTACTTGTGTATAATAAAGACTATCTTATAAATGACTTGAATTGACATGACATAATTTTATTAGCATAATAATAATTTCAATAACAATTGCACATTACGTAGATAATCGCCAGTTGGTCGTTAAGGATTCGCGACAAGATTCGTGTTATAGAGGCTGACAGGCCGAGTCACGCATGCTACACTCATGATGATGAATGCTAGTTGTGTTACATGACTATTGTACGCGCGCAACTAACCCCCACCGCTTTGCTTGCGATTGTAAAGTGACAGTTTCAAGGTGGTTTCAAGGTGAAGGGTTCGCAAGACAAAGGCGATGCGCGCGTTACTTGCTATCTTGTTCTTGTCACATCACACTAATTTAAGGACATATTGCTGTTTATTACTTTTTAATGCTTATAAAACCTTATTCTCGTCTTTTCATCGGTTTTGAGATATTTGCCACTGTCTGGGAAATTTAATAGGGGTATGTGTGGCTAAAATTTTTAGAAAGTCATGAACAATGCAAATGAAGATTTATAACTCATTATTTATATTTTTGTTTTATAATAATTGATATTAATTGATTTTTAAAACTTACTTATCGACTTTTAATATTTAGATATTTATATTAATAAACACATTCAAAGCATACCTATATAATTTGCATAATTTTTTTTAATTGTCGACTGTTCAACACAATGAAACAATCAATGTAATCTTACCCTTAGACAGGGTAGAAATGCGCGCGCATCTTAACGGGCAGCCTGCCACAAGGCGCGGGGGGCGTGTCCCGTACGTTACGTACGTATACCACAACGCAGCTAAGAGATAAAACACTAGTCTACCAAACCAATTCGAGTTTAATTTTCAACGTAAATACATTAAATAATCGAACAACTGGGACTGACAGCATAACGAATGAGCTGAACTAAGAATTCTTAAAATATCTCTATCAACAAGCGTCCTTGCAAGACGAAGGTTATATTCTTTATAAAAATAACACTTCTCTACTACAGATTATCTTAGTGGCATCGATTTACTATTACCGAAATATTTCGGTTGGCTTATCATATTAGGTAGGAGCGTTTCGCGTTTATCTTTAATTACGTAAATAATATCACCATAAAAACCTGGTTTTACCAATAATTGTACGGTAATCTTTACAATACCATTGAGCAGCAAATTTTTGACTTGACGTTAATTAGAATTGCTCACTTTTTAGAATTTTACTAACTAATCCAGAAGACCTTGTTCTGCCCTTTCTGTTAGGCGGCACGATGATTTTTAACTCCGAATTCACTACAGTCAAGTTAATATTTTTTATTCATATTTTCATTATGAATAAAAGAAATATTAACTTGACTAAAGCCACCTTACAGGTCTCAACTTGGTGAATTTGTTTTTTCTTTTTTTTTTGGCACAAAGTCAAAATAGACCTATTGTGGATAAGCGTGTCTATATAGATTTTTTGCCTTTTGAATACAGAACCATCTATCGGATCCTCGCTAAGCGAGAATATTAAGATCTAGATCTGTTTCGATCAGAAGGTACATAATCATAAACAGAATACAACGATTTTATTATAGTATAACGATTTTATTATAGTATAAAGACGGTATAAGACTAGGTATACATACGAGTAGGTACTACTGTCATGTCTTGAAATATTAGCTATGCATATTAATTAATACCCACGTTACTTACGCGGAAGCACGTACCTATCATATTCTGTTACAAAGCATTCATTCATAATGGAAACATGGTCTTGTATCCGTTTATTCGTAGGTTTAGTTACGTAGTACTATTATTTATTCTGTGGTTTAGTACTAGTCTAAAATAAGTACTTTATTAGGAATAAAGCCCTTTATAAAAATTTCAATACAGCGTCGTCGTCGTAAGTCGTGGCTATTATACTCACTGATTATACCTAAACTGCGATTAAATAGCATAGAAAAATTAGGCACAACAGGAATTTAACACGGATATAATTCTTCTTCCCATTTCTGACCTTATACCAAGTATTTTGGGTCAACATATCAAGTCTTCCTCTTCCGTTCTCGTCTATTAGCTGTCATCTCATGTCTCACTCTTTCCCTACGCATAACATCCTTGTAGAATCCATCCATCTATTCTTAGGACTCCCTCTACTCTTATATCCATCAACTTTCATAACACGGATGGAATTAATTTAACACGAATAAATAATAATAAAAATATACTCATATAGCTAATTAAAACAAGATTTCCAATTTTAAAATAATGATACGTCAATTTTACCGCACAGGCACACTTTGACTAAATTAGAGGATACATCCCATACTTTTAAGAAATATAAGAGAACTACTCTAGACCCATATTTCTGACAGTAAAGCTACGGTCGATTTTTTGTCCAGTCACAGATACATTCTCAGAATATAAGTACACAAAGTTTGTATATCGTTCATCATATCTCATAATAAGAGTTATTATAATATTAAGGAACACATGGGTGGTAATAACTCCTGGAAGGGATTAGATAATCACTACCAAGTCCGTCCGTTCGTTTGTCAATACCTTTTTTCCCAGAAAGCATCAAGTTTAATGAATATCTAATATTAGTTATTTAAAAAAAATGAAGTTTCTATTAAAAATTTAGAAAATACGGCCATTTTTGACACCTTTTTGTTACTCCTTTGAGTATGTTGGTTGAATACTCAAAGTGATACTCGCAAACTCGCACTTTAAAACTTCCAGGTGAAATACAGTACAAATAAAGAAAATAATATCGGGAAATTGTTAAATGTGTAACGTAAAAAACATTTGCAAATGGAACATCGATCATGATATAGTAAGAATGTATATAAGAACGATTTTTCCCACTTCAAAGTAACTCAAACCCTCAATACATTTTGTTAGAGCAAAATCCGGTGTTTACCCTACCTATAATTCCCGGGATAAATGAACTATCTACATACATTATAAAGGTTTATACGGAACGCTCAGGGCGCAAGTATTTTTCGCACTTATCGGTTTTTTACCCATTATCACGTAAATTTTGATGCGGGGTACTAAACATACACCATAATATTATATGCTTTTATTGCCGCGGCTAGCGACGTGGGTGACAGCGGCGCTTGGAATGAATATTAATGTCCTTTTCATTTACAGCCAGGTATAATGCTGTGTGATTCTACCTAAGCTCAGGCAATTGTAACGGTGCTTCCAATTTGAATTTCGGTAGATTACATAATAACTGTTGTAGTCAGAGAACCCCTTTGTTACTAAAATACACACCACATCATTATACCTATTATTCTGTAGATAAATTATAGTTTTATATGAATGTATTCGTTTTTTTTGAATTAGGGTGACAAACGAGCACACAGTCTACCTGATGGTAAGTGGATGCTGTGGCCCATAGACATCTACATTTGTTCTCGATTAAGAATCAAAACGCAGGTGCGTTGTTACCCCTGAGGACTAAGATGGAATGCCTCGTTTCCAGTAAAAAAGGGTCTTTGGATCTCTACACTCACCATACGAAATGCAGCAGTATTAAGGTGCTATTTTACGCTGGTATTCTGTGAGACCGTGGTCCTTCCCCGGTCGAGCCGACCCATTCGTGCTACATCCATAATATAGCTGCAGCGTGGCTCTACCACGTATAAAAATGTTTGATCCAGACTAACAACAACATTAAATGGGGTTAGTAGTATATGGTGTCTTGCGGACACCAGATGTAAAATCGTCTGTCATTAGTGGCGTTAAAGAATTTGCTTCACCGTATTCTCCCGTGGATGTCATAAAAGACGACATAGATAAACTGTAACAGGAGATGGGAAGCAGCATATTCCTGATAACAAATCAAAATAATTATAGAACTAAATTATATAATTATATAGAAATCTGAAAGATTCTTATGGGAGGCACAATGCGGATTTAGACCTGGAATAGGATGCACGGATCAAATGTTTTCTCTCCGCATGATCACGGAAAAGCTTCTGAGTATTAACCAGAGGATTTTCTGTGCTTTTGTGGATCTGGAGAAAGCATTTGATAAGGTTATAAGGAAGAAAATGTGGGAACTGTTGCCGGGATATGGTGTGGATGGTCGATTGCTAAGGGCTGTGCAGTCACTTTACTATGACTGTGAAGCCTGTGTGCGAGTAGGGTATGACCTGTCACCCATGTTTAGCGTCCAAGCGGGCGTAAAACAGGGTTGTGTCATGTCTTCCTGGCTGTTCATACTGTATCTCGACAGCTGTTTACAGAAGCTGAAAAATAGCTGTTTGGGTGTGAAATTGGGTGACATAAAAGTAAATTGTCTGCTGTATGCTGATGATGCAGTGCTTATTGCACCATCAGAAGCAGAACTGCAGGCATTAGTCACGTGTATGAAAGAGGAATGTGAAATTAAAGGTCTCCCTTTGAATGC